CTGTGTCAGGAGACAGTAAACACACCTCATCACTGTGAGACAGGTAAACACACCTCATCACTGTGAGACAGTAAACACACCTCATCACTGTGAGACAGGTAAACACACCTCATCACTGTGTCAGGAGACAGGTAAACACACCTCATCACTGTGTCAGGAGACAGGTAAACACACCTCATCACTGAGAGACAGGTAAACACACCTCATCACTGTGTCAGGAGACAGGTAAACACACCTCATCACTGTGTCAGGAGACAGGTAAACACACCTCATCACTGTGTCAGGAGACAGGTAAACACACCTCATCACTGTGTCAGGAGACAGGTAAAACACACCTCATCACTGTGTCAGAGACAGGTAAACACACCTCATCACTGTGTCAGGAGACAGGTAAACACACCTCATCACTGAGAGACAGGTAAACACACCTCATCACTGTGTCAGGAGACAGGTAAACACACCTCATCACTGTGTCAGGAGACAGGTAAACACACCTCATCACTGTGTCAGGAGACAGGTAAACACACCTCATCACTGTGTCAGGAGACAGGTAAACACACCTCATCACTGAGAGACAGGTAAACACACCTCATCACTGTGAGACAGGTAAACACACCTCATCACTGTGAGACAGGTAAACACACCTCATCACTGTGTCAGGAGACAGGTAAACACACCTCATCACTGAGAGACAGGTAAACACACCTCATCACTGTGAGACAGGTAAACACACCTCATCACTGTGAGACAGGTAAACACACCTCATCACTGTGTCAGGAGACAGGTAAACACACCTCATCACTGTGAGACAGGTAAACACACCTCATCACTGTGAGACAGGTAAACACACCTCATCACTGTGAGACAGGTAAACACACCTCATCACTGAGAGACAGGTAAACACACCTCATCACTGTGAGACAGGTAAACACACCTCATCACTGTGAGACAGGTAAACACACCTCATCACTGTGAGACAGGTAAACACACCTCATCACTGTGAGACAGGTAAACACACCTCATCACTGTGTCAGGAGACAGGTAAACACACCTCATCACTGTGTCAGGAGACAGGTAAACACACCTCATCACTGTGAGACAGGTAAACACACCTCATCACTGTGAGACAGGTAAACACACCTCATCACTGTGTCAGGAGACAGGTAAACACACCTCATCACTGTGAGACAGGTAAACACACCTGATCACTGAGAGACAGGTAAACACACCTGATCACTGAGAGACAGGTAAACACACCTGATCACTGTGAGACAGGTAAACACACCTGATCACTGAGAGACAGGTAAACACACCTCATCACTGTGAGACAGGTAAACACACCTCATCTCTGTGAGACAGGTAAACACACCTGATCACTGAGAGACAGGTAAACACACCTGATCACTGAGAGACAGGTAAACACACCTGATCACTGAGAGACAGGTAAACACACCTGATCACTGAGAGACAGGTAAACACACCTCATCACTGAGAGACAGGTAAACACACCTGATCACTGAGAGACAGGTAAACACACCTCATCACTCTGGTCTTGTGTGTTTGTGTGTGTGTAGTTGTGTGTTTGTGTGGAGGTTGGACTCTCAGATGACCAGCACCATGAGAAAGAGGCGGGGCTTCAAAGTGAGCGCTGCACCTGAAAGCTGCAGCATCAGACAGCAGAACATCAGGTGAGTCAGGATGGAGGGGGTCTGCTCCTGTGTACCTGAGAGGTGTGTAGGGGCGGGGTCAGGATTCAGGTGTGTTCCTCCTCGTTACAGGAGAGAGACCTTCACCAGCGTGCCCTCGTCTCAGCTGTCTCAGCTGGACGAGGAGGAGGAGGCTGACAGCGGTACTCCAGCTAGACCGGACTCTGCTCAGGGTGAGGAGGACGAGTTTTAACTCTTTAAGTTCTGAATCAAAGTGGCCGGCTGACAGTAGACGTCACATCGACCCTGATGTTGTTTCTTAAAATGAGCTCATCCGCCTAATTCTCAAATAATAACCTTCTGTTGACAAATCCTATAACACAAGCTTAATGATTAACCCTCATGCATCATTATGGACATTTTTGTCCATTTGGTCAAATGTTTCCTCTTCATCTGGTCATCATTTTGTCTGTTAGTGCATATGGAACACATTTTTATAAGACTCTCTCTTGACAAATTTTGGAATGCACATTGTATTTTTTTAATAGATCAATAGATCACTGAAACATGTTTACTACCCTCTGAAGTCTCTAAGGACAAAAAATGTCCACTTACAAAAAACTGATCTAAAAATAGAACAGGTTGATATTTTTTTCTGCATAAATCTCTTAAACAACTTCAGAACTGGCATTTAAAGGGTTAAATTCCTGATAATTACTCTATTTGATAGTTTTGAGCAGGGTTGGAGTTGTTTAAGAGATGTATGCAGAAAAAAGTAGAGAAAAATATCAATCTGTTCTATTTCTATTGCAGTTTTTTGTAAGTGGACATTTTCTTTCCTTAGTGACTTCAGAGGGTCGTAAATGAAACTGATGCCTGAGGGTTAACAAGTTGGCAAAGTCCTTATTTACAATTGAAAGTGCAAAAACATTTATATTCTACATAGATATGTTAATCAGTTTTACCTAATAGTCCCGCCTCTGACATGGCAGGTAGCCAATCACAGTTATGGACTTCTGAGGTGGCACTTAAAGTGGCCAATCAGATCTCTAGGGAGGTCAAAGCCACCACTTTTGGACACGCCCCTGAGGTCAGCTGGCGTAGAGGAAGCAAACAGGATTACAAACTCCACCTGGTGGACAGAGATGGTACTTAAAGAGCTACACAGCTGCACACACACTTAACACGATGGAAACCTCACACAAGAAGAGACTTAAAACCTGTTTCCCCTCTGAGAGACCCTCAAACACAGACTGTACCTGGTACCACTTAAATCAAACAGCTGACCACAGTCTGAGTCTGAATGTTTTGTGTTTCAGATCCTCAGCTGCTTCAGACCAACGGGAAGCTGCCCATGTGGTTCAGGAAACTGGTCAGTTCACTGATGACGTCACAGATGATCAATCTGTTTGTACATTTAACTCCATTAAAGTTTATGGCTGATTACTTGTATGTGTTCAGCAGGGGCAGGGCGGAGCCTCCTGTGCAGTCCAATCAGATGCAGAGCCTCAGCAGGTACGGAGTCGTTGGGCGGAGCAGCAGGACCCTGTGGTCATCTGCTCCACCTTCTCCCCGAGCCCCACCAAGAGTCAGGAGGGAGAGGAGGAGGAGGAGGAAGAAGAGGAGGAGGACTTCCACCCTCAGAGTCTGGAGAGTCTTCTGGGAGACGAGGAGGAGGAGGAGGAGGAGGAGGAGGAGGAGGTCAGCAGACAAACTGGTTCAGTTTCTTTCTGGACTCCAAACTGATTACACAAAAATACTTTTTATTCTTTGGCTGAATCGAGTAATAAAACATTGATCTAATAAGTTTTTGATCATTAAAGGTCCAATCAGTGAGATGTGTAGAGAGTGAGATGATAAAGGTATCTTACTCTCTGATCATTAAGGAAACATGCTATGTTGAAGTGCTGGCTTCTCTGACAACAATGCAGCAGCCAGTATGTCCTCCTTCTAACTTTACATTCTGCTCCTGAATGCTCTGGATTTGTTTGGACCAGAGAAGGTAGGCGCTTTTAAGACACGCCCCCAGTTTTAAGACAGCTCTCTACAATGTTTAGAATTTAGACTGCAGTACCCGTTTTAAACACTAGGGGTCAGAGTTACATACTGCTCCTTTAATCAAAGTGAATCATTAATTTACTGAATAATTTTTTCTTCTTGTGTTTGCTCTGTCTCATCGTGCTGCAGCTTCTGATTTATATGCTTAATTAAAATAATTGGTTAATGCATGATGTGTAAGTTTATCACTCTGTGTGGAGTCCAGGTGCAGCAGGATCCAGGTGAGGAGGGGGGCACGTTCATCCTCCACCCAAACACCAACAACACTACTGTGGACAGGTGAGCTTCATGTTACCAGATGATCGAATCAACAAACCTGAACCTTTCAGTCGCATTTGATACTGATGGTGTGTTCGTGTGTTTTCAGGGATTTTGATGTTGGAGGCGTGACAGACTCTCGGCGGTCTCTGACCAAGCTGGAGGTCACAGGTACGGGGGTGGAGCCTGTGTGGAGCAGCCAGCTGAGTCCGGACTCGGCCCTATCTGAAGGTTCAGCAGGAAGTTTGGAGCAGCAGCACGACGCAGGTCAGACACATTCCTAACACCTGTGATCGCTGTCTACCTTCAAAGGTTGTTTTCTTGGTTGTTAAAGCGCCTTATGGTTGTCATGGTAACCATTAGTCAAACTGATGAGGACACTCAGCTGTTCAGGAAGTGCTCTTTGAAATAAAACTCCCCCTCAGATGATCTCTGACATCATCATTATTATTAGTTTGATGTTGTTGTGTGTCAGTGACGGGGGTCTCTCTGCCTCAGACACAGACTCTCTGAGTCAGAGCAGCTCTGTGGGCAGTCTGGTCCTGGAGGAGGACGAGGACAGGAACTGTCTGAAGAACCACTTTGATACTCTGGCCTCCAGTCTGAACGACGGTAACACACACTCTTCTTCTTCATCATCTGAATGTTCACTCTGCTCTCCTCCATCATGACCGTGTGTGTGTGTGTGTGTGTGTGTGTGTGTGTGTGTGTGTGACCTTTCACCTTCCAGAGAAGTTTGACACTGACCTGAGGACCGTGCAGCCTCCCGAGGAAAAACACTTCCTGAACCCCCGACTCAGCATCTCCACCCGCTTCCTGTCCCGATTCCAGGACAGGATCAGGTCAGTCTACCCACAATCCTCAGGGACACTCCTTGAGTTCAGAGGGTTTGTTTTAACTGGTGGTTGTCATGGGGATAACAGTACTTCCCTGCTGTTTAGGACGTGGCCGAGCCAGGCTCTTCCCCCGGTCTCCATCCCAAGCAGGATCTCAGAGGAGAGCAACATCAGCAACACATCGGTACAGAAACACACCTGAACATATCAAACACACCTGAACATATCAAACACACCTGAACATATCAAACACACCTGAAGATATTAAACACACCTGAAGATATTAAACACACCTGAACATATCAAACACACCTGAACATATCAAACACACCTGAACATATCAAACACACCTGAACATATCAAACACACCTGAAGATATTAAACACACCTGAAGATATTAAACACACCTGAACATATCAAACACACCTGAAGATATTAAACACACCTGAACATATCAAACACACCTGAACATATCAAACACACCTGAACATATCAAACACACCTGAAGATATTAAACACACCTGAACATATCAAACACACCTGAAGATATTAAACACACCTGAACATATCAAACACACCTGAACACCTGAAACCTTCCTGAGAATCGCTTTAAATACCTTACATTCGACACTGCACACAACCTAATCCTGAACACGTCATGATTTACCTGACATCATCTCCAAGGTGAGATTTGGTGAGTAAAGTTGAATAAATGTTTGTTTTCCAGGTAAACTCTGAGTTGAGCAGCGAGGTCACTTCAACTGATCCTATTCAGAAAGAAAACAACGACAGTACAGGTGAGTCATCTCGTTCAGAAGACATTTAAATCTGTGAACTCTGTTTGGTGATGAAGACATACACCTCCTCTCACTCCAACTCGACTTCTACCTTTCAGTGCTTTTACGGGCTCAGGCCTCGAGTCAGAGTAGAAGAAAACGAAACTGATTCTGAAGGGAAGTCATTATTTGTGTAGCACCAATTTATCACAAGTGTTACCTCGAGACGCTTTACAAAAGGGGGTTAAAAACCTTTCTGTTTGTTAAGAAAAATGGGATAGGGGAGATGGGATCAGATGCAGGAAGGATCAAAGTCAGCCATGCTGCCCGTTTATTCTGGTGCAATGTTTTATTCATTACATAGAAGACAAAGAATGGTCAGCATGGTCTTGTAAAAGATGCTGCTTCTCTGATTAATCCTTTCATCGATTAGTCGTCTCATCACTTTGAGTTCTGTTTCTAACCTCTCAGTCACAGCTTGCTCCTCAAACAGCAGGTTAAGTTCATCTGTAGAGATATAAATATACGTTTCACTGTCAGAATGCTTCAGTTCTGTGTCAGGGGAGTTTTTAAAACCAGTCAGAGGAGCCCGACTGGTTGGACTTGATGCTTCACATCAGCAGTAAAACACTGAACCAAAGTTTAGATAAGATCATGTTTTACCTGCTGCTGTTTAAAACCTGCATGTCTGCAGGCATCAGGCCGGAACACACAAACTTTCTCTGTTTTTTAAGTAAACTGACACAAACACACATTAGTCCTTTAAGAAAAAACCAGAGAGCTCTGAGACCGAGACCAGACCAAGGCCGTAAATATCAATGAAGTCATCATCTTGTGATTAGGGGGTGTGTCACTCACATAGAGCGTAACACCGGGAAGGTTGCGGTCATGTCAACCGAACTTAAAGGAAAAGCACCTTTATTACTGCCTCAAAGTAAGTGACACAGAAGAGGTATCCCAGATGAAACAAGGTTTAAAGGAAGATAATGTTTTTTCCAAACTAAAGTTAAAACAATCATAATTATGTAAATCTGACATCATGAATGTGATGTATGGAAGACTGTAGTGCTGTGAAGGGCAGACAAATCCAAACCAGCTGGTAGAGAGAGAGAGGGAGAAGTTGGAGTGGAAGCCACTTAAATAAACTGTGCCTCAGCTTATCTCAGGTGTACACAGTTAACATCCTTCTCGACTCTGCCTATTGGCTACTGAGCCAGAAAGTTAGTCTTTAAATGTGATGTTTTGATCCAGCAGATGTCGCCCTTGAGCACCAGCATGAAACCAAAACAACTGGCGCTGCATTGTTGTGTTAGCATGCTAATGCTAGCGATCTTTATTATGCTGGTATCTTCACACTGCATGTAAATTTACCTGAAATGAGCGTGATCTAGAAACACAGTTAAGCAGTGAGTACAGTATGTTATTCTTCTTTTCTCTAGTCCCTCAATTAAACAACTTTTAGACACGAGGGGAGGAGTCAGCCGGCCGTCCTGGCGATGTAAACAAACTGAAAACTCTGAAAACATCACAGACAGTGGGACTCGGGTGTTACACCCATTGTAGACAGTCATGACTCACAGAGTTATTTTCAGAGGATAGACTTGATTTCTACATTTAAGTGTGAAAAATCACATAAAGACTTTAAACCAAAACAAAACACATGCGGGTTGAGACGGCAGGATGTCACACTAGCCAAAGAATCGGTTGTTTCTGCAGGAGAAATGAGAAGTTACAGAGATGTAAACTCGTCACAAGGTTTACAGAAATGTCAGAAGCTCAAGAAGGCTTCCCTGAGGGACTCCACTTTTGATTAAAGACAGAAGTGTGTGTTCTGTGTGTGTGTGATCACAGCGAGATCCAACCAGTCACCTCTCCGTCGTAGAGCCTCCTGCCGCCGAATACGCCGACGACACACCGTTTTTGTCGTCCAATGTGGAGAAAAGCTAGGAGGTGTGTGTGTGGCCACATGGGTGTTTGTGTAAAGTTTTTCGTTCTTTCCTTCTTTGGTTACACTCGCAAACTGTTTCTCACCAGTGTGGGCGTGGCTAAACTGTACTGTACTCATATTGAAGTCTTTGGTTTTTAGCACCACTTTTTCACATCTTTCCTCTGTTGTGAGGTCATCAGGGTGTGTTTAAAGTTCAGTAAATAAAGCTTGTGGAGCGCTGGTTTGACTGAAAAGACTCCTCAACTAAAGATAAATGAGCAGAGGAGGTGGGCAGAGACTCAGGGGCTTGTGGGTCTTAACTTCACAACCATCAACATTACCTTAGCTCAACTAGCGTACAGGTAGCTAGCAGCACGACTAAATCCACCTGGTGGACACATATGGTACTAAAAAAGCGACACAGCTGCACACAAACTGATCTAAACTGGCAGCTCCGCGTCACAGTGAGACCCCGCCCCCACCTCCTCTTTTTTAATCACAGAGGCTGGTTTAGGATCACTCACCTGTCCAGCTTCACTTGAGGAACTCAAATCAGATCCTACTCTCTGATCTTTCTTCTTCTTCAACCAATCAGATGTCCCCTCCAGGACTCTGGTGACCCACAACAGCAGCGTGGTGTCTGCCGTCCAGCAGGGGGCGCCTCGCCTCGGGTACCTCGGAACCACAGCGAGCTCCAGAGCCAAACTGATCCAAGACACCATTGCCTCCTCCAACACCTCGTCTAACACCTCCTCCACCTCCTCCACCTCCTGTCATGAGGAGGAGGAGGAGGAGAACCTGTCCTCCTCTTCAGACCTCCTGACTCATCCCCACCTGATATCAGCTGGTGTGGACCTCCAGAGCACCAACCTGTCCCCAGCCAAGGCCAGACCTGCAGGTATCCCCTGAAACCTCAGGCTGCCCCCCTTTTTTATGTTCAACCTCCCCAGACGCACCGGAGCCTGAAGGAAGAACTCTTCATTTGATTTTGAAAACAGATTAATATCATGTTTAAATATTTTTGTCTTTTTTTTTTTTTTTATCAGTGTTGCGTCGTCGTCCGAGGATCACACACCTGAACAAGACCTGCAGGTGTTGAGCACGCCCTCCCGTGTGATGTCAGAGGGCGCGGTCGCCAGGTGGAGCGTTAGCAGCATCGAAGAAACGCTGACAAATATAAACCAAACCCTCATCCCAAGTCCCGCCCCCTCCATTACCCTAACAGGCACACCCAGAGCTTGTGATGTCATCGCCTGCCCCGCTTTCAGACGGGAGGAGGGGTCAGGAGGGTCTGAGACTGATCCAGGTAACACAGGTGAGTCTGCGCTGCGTCTCATATACCTTTATATATAAAATGCTGACGCGGTGTCTTCACCTCCGTTCAATGTTGCTTGCAACCTGTGGAGAAACATAGTGACGCTGACGAGTCTGGCAGCACCACTTCTTACCCCCTATCCCGTCATGAGGTCATCATGGTGCATTTAAAGTAAACGGTGGTTTTACTGTTGAGTAAAGAAAGCTTGTGGAGCGCTGGTTTGACTCAGTTAGAGACCACGAGTGACCAGCGGAGTCGGGCACTCGTGGTCTCTAACTGAGGATGTCTGTAGGAAGTATGTCAGATTGGGACAAATAGCATTTTAGAGTTAAAGGAGTGTGCAACCTTTTGATCCACTAGGTGTCGCCCTTGAGCTCCAGCATGAAACCAAAACAAACTACTGTTAGGCCACGCCTCCTCCATACTGAAGCCTCCGCTCTCCTCCAGAGACACACCTCCAACCCCTCTTTACTCGCACTCACAGGAAGGAGTTTAGCACAAGGGCTGGACTAACTTATCCTCTGCTCGAGCTGCAATCACCTGTGTCCTGCATTGTTGTGTTAGCATGCTAATGTTAGCGCTCTTTAGTTAGCTCGTAGCTTCACATTGTTGTGTTAACATGCTAATGTTAGCGCTCTTTAGTTAGCTCGTAGCTTCACATTGTTGTGTTAGCATGCTAATGTTAGCGCTCTTTAGTTAGCTCGTAGCTTCACATTGTTGTGTTAGCATGCTAATGTTAGCGCTCTTCAGTTAGCTCGTAGCTTCACATTTCATGTAAACTGACACAGAATGAGCGTGATCTAAAAACTCTTACTAACATCCAAATAATCAGTGAGTATGTTCTTCTTCTTCTCTCTAGTTCTTGACTAAAACAGCTTTTATACACAAGGGGAGGAGCCGGCCGTCCCGTCCATGTAAACACGGCTCTGACAACAACACAGCCAGCGGGACTCGAGCTTCTCCCTCATTGTAGACAGTCAGGACTCAGAGACACGTTTTCTTTTTGTTTAAAATATCAGACAGATCTTCAGGAGCTGACCTCCCGACCTCTTCCTCGTCTCCTCTGACTGACAGACCCCGCCTTCCCCAAACAGGTAACCCCGCCCCATCACACCACATTATACAGTTTCCAGTCGGGCTCATCAGAAGATGAACTCTGTAGCGCCCCCCTCAGGACGTACCCGGCAAGTACTGAGGGCTCATCAGGTCTTTGTTGTTTCAGGTTCAGGTGATGAAGAGTCGGTCAGTCTGCAGCAGTGTCAGCACGTCGCCAGTGAGCTGAGAGAGACGGCAAGACGAGCTGTACACCTGTACCAACAGGTGAGACCAAAAACAGGACTCCTCAGTCAGACTTTGTGAACGGCTTTAGAGCGTCTAAACTTAAATTGTGATATAAGAGGAGCTGAACGTGTTGTGTGCTTTCTCTAGTTGTAAAGTTTTAAAGGAGCAGTATGTCACTCTGACCCCTAGTGTTTAAAGTGGGTACTGCAGTCTACATTCTAAACATCATATAGAGCTGTCTCCCCCCCCTCCTCTCTAGAGTGGATGCTCACTCAGGTCACCATGTGGTGGACTCTGAAGCTTCAGTGTTTATCCAGCTCTGCATGGGTCTGTAAACCTTTCTGTGTTCTAACCTCTCTCCATTTTTCAAAAGCATCTCCAATATTGATCCTAGTTTGAGCACGTTTCTGCTCGTGGAGCTTATTAGAAACATGCAGAGGCTTTTTAGGTCGGGTACAATCACTTCTATTTGAACCACTTCTCTTGACCGCTTCCATCGCTGCAACACCTGTTGACCTGATAACTGCTCTCATATCTGACAAACTGAGGGGTGTCCAAAACGGCCGTGTGAGGGTGTCTTAAAAGCGCCTACCTTCTCTGGTCCAAACAAATCCAGAGCATTCAGGAGCAGAATCTAAAGTTAGAAGGAGGACATACTGGCTGCTGCATTGTTGTCAGAGAAGCCAGCACTTCAACATAGCATGTTTCCTTAATGATCAGAGAGTAAGATACCTTTATCATCTCACTCTCTACACAGCTCACTGATTGGATCTTTAAAGTTTACATTTCTGTTTCCATCTTCACTTGTAGAAGAGGTCAGCAGGATATTAACATTGAAAGATAAAGTCTGAGGGGTGAAAGTGTTTTTTCATTTTTACGTCTTTTTTATGAAATATTGAAACCTTTCTTGTTGGTGCAGCTCGGCGGGTCGGAGCAGCGTCTTCAGATGTCGTGCGTCCTGCGGGAGGCGTTTGATGTCGTTCACTCTGAGCTGCAGGCGGTGCTGCGGGGCGGAGATGGGCGGGGCAGCGCCCCCTCTGGCCTCATGGAGAGCGACGGGACGATGTCTCTGCTGGAGAAGTACTCTGAGCTGCTGGTTCAGATGACCCAGAACAAACTGAACCGAGTGTGAACCCCCTCACCCCCCCCACGCTGCAGGCTGTACGGAGGCTGAAAGAGGACAAACTTCCCTCCAGGCTCTTTCATAAACATCAGTATTAAGTTTTAGCACCGTACGTTTGTTTTTATGGAGCAGATGTTTGAGATCACGTGTTTGTACAGAAAGTGTTTTTAATGTTCCTTAATAAAAGTTTCATGTTCATCAAATGTTTTCTTTTTGAAGACGTCGTCGTCACTCGCCGTTTAGATTTCTTCAACACGTGTTTGAACATCAAAACAAAGTGAGGGAACAAAAAGCCTCAGACGGTTTCACTTCTCGATGTAAACATTCTGCTGGTTCACTAAACCAATCAGACGTCATCGTGATCTCAGGATTCAAACGGGTTTAATCATCAGGAGTGTCAGAGATCTTTAAAACAACACATCAACATAATGCAGGGATTAAAGTTCAGCGTCAATCAGACCAAAAAAGTCGAGCAGAATGTCGGATCTTGAGCTTCAAAAAAGAAAAACGTGTCAGTTTTATTCCTCAGATAGAAAACACATATTCAATTAGTTTTTTTTACTTGTTTTATAAATTGAGAATATTCAGTCAAATCTTTTTTTCTGTTTTAATCCCTGAACATATCAACAAATAGCATCCATGTAAATATGCTGGAGTTAGCACAAAAGCTAAATTTAATCTGTAGTCCTAAAATAACAGAACAGATGTGAAACTACAGGACAGTTTTGGTTTTTTTATGCATTTTTTTAATTTAAGAAAACTCTATTTTGGCTTCATCCTGTTGAATGGGAGGCTGAGGCACGCTGTTCTGACGTCATAAACACCTGAGGGTCAAACAGCTGGTTTGTCTGGACTGCAGGTGGTCCCGACGTCCAACAGGTGAAGCTTTTAAGGGGCGTGTCCCAAAGGGTGTGTTTGTTTTTCATCTGTAGTCAAAACAGGAAGAGCGCAGGGTGGGCGGTGATTGGCTGAGAGACCCGGCAGCTGTCAGCAGGAGTCCCGCCCCCCGTCAGAGTGTCGAGCCTACGAGGAAAAAAGTTCAGAAATATGAAATCAAACTAAGTCAACAAAGTTGAAAAGAAAAGAAAAGCGCGTAAAGGAGCCAGGAGGAGCCAACATGGCGGCGGTCGGAACAGCTGGATGTTAGCGCGGAGCTGTGTGCAGCATCAGGCCGGGCTGTGAGCGCCTGTCAGCGGGGAAGCAGCATGAAGCAGCCCGGGCACGGTGCATCATGGCCGCTGTGACAGTCAACACCAGCACCGTCATGACGGAGTCCGCCGGAGGCTCGGAGCCCCGCAACCTGCCTCCGGGACCGGGAGGAGGAGGAGGCAGGTCGGCGGACAGCTGGAAGAGAGACATCATCCGTCAGCTGCAGCACCGAGACCGGAACCAGCACGCCATGTTCCAGGACCTGATCCGCTTCTGTACGAGCCACAAGTACCGTTTAATCTGTTCAAATCACTTTCATCTGTTTTAATACAGTCCAGCTGTTTGTGTTTACATCCGGGTTATTCTAAAGCAGCACCTGGAGGACCTGGAGGACCTGGAGAATGTCTCCAAAACACCTTTAAAAATCTAAAACAGTTTTATAACCACGAAGAGATATCACATCATAAATCACAGCTCAGAGAAACACTTCCTGCTTAACGCACACACACGCACGCACACACACACGCGCGCGCGCACACACACACACACACACACACACACACACACACACACACACACACACACACACACACACACACACACACACACACACACACACACACACACACACAGATTGAATCAGGTTGTGAGTTTGGTTCTGCTGAATGACAGACATGTGGAGCAGGTTCGTCAGGTATATCCAGCTGTGTCAGGTCACCTGTCTCCTACAGAGATCCAAATTCATTTAAAAAACTTTAAACTTTTTTTAGTGGTTTCAAACTCTCCTGTGTCAGCTCCTTCAAGGTTCCTGAAAGTTGTCTGGAAACTGAAGGCATGTTGCTCTGACTCACCGACGTGAGCACGCTGATCTCACACATGAACATGTCCGGGACGATGACTCAAACATTCAAATCGTAATCTTTCCATAATCTCTGGGTTCACTTTGACAGAAAGTCGACAAACTTTAAAAAATAATTTAAAGATCCTCAGGTGGGAGCCTCCTGGTCGTTCCAAAGTCCAGACTTGAAACTAAAGGTGACCGGGCCTTTTCAGTCAGGGCCCCTCGACTTTGGAACGACCTCCTTGAGGAGATAAGACTCGCAGACTCCCTCAATTCTTTTAAATCTTAAAACGTACTTTTACAGACTTACTTTGATGTGATGTCGTCTTCTTAATCTCTTTCTTACTGCTTTTACTATTTTTATCTTCTTTTACTTCTTACTCTCCTTTTATTTATGCTCTTATCTCTTATATCTTATTTATACTCCTCTTGTGTTTTAACTTGGTCATTTCTTATCTTACTTTGTCTATTTATGTTTTATATTCATATTTACTTTGTATTCTTATTAATATTATAGTTTTGGGTTTTTTGATCCTTTATTCACTTGTTTGTTTTTCTCTTCCTGCTCTTACCTTCTTATTGCTCTTTATCTTTTGATTTACTTTGAGCTCTTTTAGTTTCTTACATCTTTTTAAATCTTTGGTTCCTCTTGGTCTCAGCTCGTGTTGTTGGGTTCTTGTGTTGCCTGGGTTCTTGTGATGGTTCTTGTGATGGTTCTTATGATGGTTCTTGTGTTGCCTGGGTTCTTATGATGGTTCTTGTGATGGTTCTTATGATGGTTCTTGTGTTGCCTGGGTTCTTATGATGGTTCTTGTGATGGTTCTTATGATGGTTCTTGTGTTGCCTGGGTTCTTATGATGGTTCTTATGATGGTTCTTGTGATGGTTCTTATGATGGTTCTTGTGTTGCCTGGGTTCTTATGATGGTTCTTGTGATGGTTCTTGTGATGGTTCTTGTGATGGTTCTTATGATGGTTCTTGTGTTGCCTGGGTTCTTATGATGGTTCTTGTGATGGTTCTTATGATGGTTCTTGTGTTGCCTGGGTTCTTATGATGGTTCTTGTGATGGTTCTTGTGATGGTTCTTGTGATGGTTCTTATGATGGTTCTTGTGATGGTTCTTGTGATGGTTCTTATGATGGTTCTTATGATGGTTCTTGTGTTGCCTGGGTTCTTATGATGGTTCTTATGATGGTTCTTGTGATGGTTCTTATGATGGTTCTTGTGATGGTTCTTGTGATGGTTCTTGTGATGGTTCTTATGATGGTTCTTATGATGGTTCTTGTGTTGCCTGGGTTCTTATGTGTTGCCTGGGTTCTTGTGATGGTTCTTGTGATGGTTCTTGTGATGGTTCTTGTGTTGCCTGGGTTCTTATGATGGTTCTTGTGATGGTTCTTGTGTTGCCTGGGTTCTTATGATGGTTCTTGTGATGGTTCTTGTGTTGCCTGGGTTCTTATGATGGTTCTTATGATGGTTCTTGTGATGGTTCTTGTGATGGTTCTTGTGATGGTTCTTATGATGGTTCTTGTGATGGTTCTTATGATGGTTCTTGTGATGGTTCTTGTGATGGTTCTTGTGATGGTTCTTATGATGGTTCTTGTGATGGTTCTTGTGATGGTTCTTGTGATGGTTCTTGTGATGGTTCTTGTGATGGTTCTTATGATGGTTCTTGTGATGGTTCTTGTGATGGTTCTTGTGATGGTTCTTGTGTTGCCTGGGTTCTTATGATGGTTCTTGTGATGGTTCTTGTGTTTCCTGGGTTCTTATGATGGTTCTTGTGATGGTTCTTGTGTTGCCTGGGTTCTTATGATGGTTCTTGTGATGGTTCTTATGATGGTTCTTGTGATGGTTCTTGTGATGGTTCTTATGATGGTTCTTGTGATGGTTCTTGTGATGGTTCTTGTGATGGTTCTTATGATGGTTCTTATGATGGTTCTTGTGTTGCCTGGGTTCTTATGATGGTTCTTATGATGGTTCTTGTGATGGTTCTTATGATGGTTCTTGTGATGGTTCTTGTGATGGTTCTTATGATGGTTCTTATGATGGTTCTTGTGTTGCCTGGGTTCTTATGTGTTGCCTGGGTTCTTGTGATGGTTCTTGTGATGGTTCTTGTGATGGTTCTTGTGTTGCCTGGGTTCTTATGATGGTTCTTGTGATGGTTCTTGTGTTGCCTGGGTTCTTATGATGGTTCTTATGATGGTTCTTGTGATGGTTCTTGTGATGGTTCTTATGATGGTTCTTGTGATGGTTCTTATGATGGTTCTTGTGATGGTTCTTGTGATGGTTCTTATGATGTTTCTTGTGATGGTTCTTGTGATGGTTCTTATGATGGTTCTTGTGATGGTTCTTATCATGGTTCTTGTGATGGTTCTTGTGATGGTTCTTGTGATGGTTCTTATGATGGTTCTTGTGTTGCCTGGGTTCTTGTGATGGTTCTTGTGATGGTTCTTGTGATGGTTCTTGTGATGGTTCTTGTGATGGTTCTTATGATGGTTCTTGTGATGGTTCTTATGATGTTTCTTGTGATGGTTCTTGTGATGGTTCTTATGATGGTTCTTGTGATGGTTCTTATCATGGTTCTTGTGATGGTTCTTGTGATGGTTCTTGTGATGGTTCTTATGATGGTTCTTGTGTTGCCTGGGTTCTTATGATGGTTCTTGTGATGGTTCTTGTGTTGCCTGGGTTCTTATGATGGTTCTTGTGATGGTTCTTGTGTTTCCTGGGTTCTTATGATGGTTCTTGTGATGGTTCTTGTGTTGCCTGGGTTCTTATGATGGTTCTTATGATGGTTCTTGTGTTGCCTGGGTTCTTATGATGGTTCTTGTGATGGTTCTTATGATGGTTCTTGTGATGGTTCTTGTGTTGCCTGGGTTCTTATGATGGTTCTTGTGATGGTTCTTGTGTTGCCTGGGTTCTTATGATGGTTCTTGTGATGGTTCTTGTGATGGTTCTTATGATGTTCTTGTGATGGTTCTTGTGATGGTTCTTATGATGGTTCTTGTGATGGTTCTTATGATGGTTCTTGTGATGGTTCTTGTGATGGTTCTTATGATGGTTCTTGTGATGGTTCTTGTGATGGTTCTTGTGATGGTTCTTATGATGGTTCTTGTGTTGCCTGGGTTCTTATGATGGTTCTTGTGATGGTTCTTGTGTTGCCTGGGTTCTTATGATGGTTCTTGTGATGGTTCTTGCGTTGCCTGGGTTCTTATGATGGTTCTTGTGATGGTTCTTGTGTTGCCTGGGTTCTTATGATGGTTCTTATGATGGTTCTTGTGTTGCCTGGGTTCTTATGATGGTTCTTGTGATGGTTCTTATGATGGTTCTTGTGATGGTTCTTATGATGGTTCTTATGATGGTTCTTATGATGGTTCTTGTGATGGTTCTTGTGTTGCCTGGTTCTTGTGATGGTTCTTGTGATGGTTCTTGTGTTGCCTGGGTTCTTATGATGGTTCTTGTGATGGTTCTTGTGTTGCCTGGTTCTTGTGATGGTTCTTGTGATGGTTCTTGTGTTGCCTGGGTTCTTATGATGGTTCTTGTGATGGTTCTTGTGATGGTTCTTCTGATAGTTCTTATGGTTCTTGTGATGGTTCTTCTGATAGTTCTTATGGTTCTTGTGATGGTTCTTGTGATGGTTCTTGTGATGGTTCTTGTGATGGTTCTTGTGATGGTTCTTATGATGGTTCTTGTGATGGTTCTTGTGATGGTTCTTGTGATGGTTCTTATGATGGTTCTTGTGTTGCCTGGGTTCTTATGATGGTTCTTGTGATGGTTCTTGTGTTGCCTGGTTCTTATGATGGTTCTTGTGATGGTTCTTGTGTTGCCTGGGTTCTTATGATGGTTCTTGTGATGGTTCTTGTGTTGCCTGGGTTCTTATGATGGTTCTTGTGATGGTTCTTATGATGGTTCTTGTGATGGTTCTTATGATGGTTCTTATGATGGTTCTTATGATGGTTCTTGTGATGGTTCTTGTGTTGCCTGGGTTCTTGTGATGGTTCTTGTGATGGTTCTTGTGTTGCCTGGGTTCTTATGATGGTTCTTGTGATGGTTCTTGTGTTGCCTGGGTTCTTGTGATGGTTCTTGTGATGGTTCTTGTGTTGCCTGGGTTCTTATGATGGTTCTTGTGATGGTTCTTGTGATGGTTCTTCTGATAGTTCTTATGGTTCTTGTGATGGTTCTTCTGATAGTTCTTATGGTTCTTGTGATGGTTCTTCTGATAGTTCTTATGGTTCTTGTGATGGTTCTTGTGATAGTTCTTATGGTTCTTGTGATGGTTCTTCTGATAGTTCTTATGGTTCTTGTGATGGTTCTTGGGACTGTTTGAAAAGGTGGAGGAGGGGGGCTGTTTGAAAAGGTGGAGGAGGGGGCTGTTTGAAAAGGTGGAGGAGGAGGACTGTTTGAAAAGGTGGAGGAGGGGGGTGTTTGAAAAGGTGGAGGAGGAGACTGTTTGAAAAGGTGGAGGAGGACTGTTTGAAAAGGTGGAGGAGGGACTGTTTGAAAAGGTGGAGGAGGGGGGTGTTTGAAAAGGTGGAGGAGGGGGCTGTTTGAAAAGGTGGAGGAGGACTGTTTGAAAAGGTGGAGGAGGGGACTGTTTGAAAAGGTGGAGGAGGGGGTGTTTGAAAAGGTGGAGGAGGGGGCTGTTTGAAAAGGTGGAGGAGGGGGGCTGTTTGAAAAGGTGGAGGAGGGGGATGTCCTCTTTAAAGTAATATTAAAGGGATAGAGGAACGTAAAGCAGTAAAATCTGCAGAGCTTAAAAGTTAAATTAACGCTGTTGAACGAGATAGTTTTTTTTCTGCATTTTAAAGGAGCAGTATGTAACTCTGACCCCTAGTGTTTAAAATGTGTACTGCAGTCCAAATTCAAAACATTGTAGAGAGCTGTCCCCCCCCCCCCTCCTCTCTAGAGTGGATGCTCACTCAGGTCACCATGTGGTGGACTCTGAAGCTTCAGTGTTTATCCAGCTCTGCATGGGTCTGTAACTTGCTGAAATCCCTCACTGACTCATGTGATGCTTCAATGTGTTTTTATGTTTTTATGTTTTTATGTTCTTTCCGGTAAATGTTTGTTTGTAAAATGTTTTATGCTCTCTGTGCGAGGAAGATTCCCCTAGGGGGCAATAAAGGTTTCATACATGGTTGTTAATGGAGCTATTTGGACTTTTGCGGTCAGCCTCTAGTGGACACTCGAGGAACTGCAGGTTCTTTGCATTTCCTGATTGTCCTGCGGAGATTTTTGCACGGTAAAAACCAGGCTGGTCTAATTGTGTTTCCTGTTTCAGACTCTCAGCTGCTGGAGAAAAGCAGCCTGGCCAAAGGGATACTGAGCTGCTCCACCAGGTACCTGAACACACCTGGACACACCTGAGCACCCTAACAAGTGTGTGTGTGTGTGTGTGTGTGATGATGTTTGTTTGTTTTCTCCACCCAGACGTCCCTCCTCTGACAGCAGCAGCTCCCTCTCCTCTCTGCTCCACCTCAACAAGCAGCTGAAGACGACCACAGGAGAGGTAGTGGTGTGTGTGTGTGGTGTGTGTGTGTGTGTGGTGTGTGTGTGTGTGTGGTGTGTGTGTGTGTTGTGTGGTGTGTGTGTGTGTGTGTGGTGTGTGTGTGTGTGTGTGTGTTGATTGAAAGCCATGTTCTTCTCGTCTCGCATACGGCGCTGTGACATCATGACCTCATGGTCGTTATTTCAGCCTGACTGCTCAGATAGATTTACTTTATTCTTCCTCTGCGGTTGTTGTTGATGATGAACGCTCTCTAGCGCCCCCTGCTGGACGATGACGGTGAGGTCCTCTCACTCTTCTTCTTTTGTTTGCTCTCAGTTGGCCTATCAGGTGGTGGAGCTGCAGCAGAACGTTAAGATCAAAGGAAGTGTTCTGAGGAGCAACGTGCCAGGTGAGACACACACACACACACACACACACACACACATACACACACACACACACACACACACACACACACACACAACACAAACACACATGTTTATGTGACTTAGTGAGACCATGACCTGTTGATTTTCTGAGGACCTTTAATAAAACTGCAGCTAAAAAGGTTAGAAAAATAATAACTGTGATAGTTTTACACACACACACACACACACCACAACACACACACACACACACACACCACACACA